CATAGTAGGATTCATTTACACCTCACTTAATAAGAGAATGGAATTCGGAGTATTTATAGTAAAATGTGGGATAACTTAAAAGACCTTAAATATAAATATAAATATATTATTTTGATTTAATCATAGTGAGAATTATTTACATCACACTCAACAAACATAAAAATATAACAATTTAGAAAATTTAAACTTATAAAAAAATATATATTTAATTATTAAAATTGAAGTGCTTATTTATCTTTTAAATTTAAACTAAAAATTTAAATAAATAAACAACTAAAATAATTTGATTCAATTTAGAAATTTAGAAATGCATAAGGAATGTTGCATTAATGAATTGGATATACATTAAATATATATATATATATATATATATATATATATATATATTATTATAAAGTTGTGCACCAAGATGAATAGTGAATTGGTCAATTGTTTTGCAGAAATAGTCCATAAGTTTTCATATTTTCAGTGGTTCAGATTTTTGGCACTAAACTTTATAATATTGGCAATTTGGTCCCTTAAATTATTAATAATGGTGTAAAGATAAGGATGAGCGCTGATACGTGTCATTCTCACGTCTTCGCCACCGGTCCTGCCTCGGTTCGTGTGCTTCCCACAATTTTTTTCTAGATTCCTCCATTTCTGAACGACGCTTCTAAACACAACCACCACACCATTGAAACTCATTACTCTTTGTCTCCACCGCTTTCCGCTTCTTCTTCACCCGTTTTCTACTTGCTCCAGGTATGTTTTCCCTCCTTGGTACTGTTCATCGGGTTACCATGGACACCGCTCTTAACCCAATCGCACTGCCGCTCTGTTCCGACCCCAGCTCTAAGAACCTTCAAAATTTCCTAAAAAGGTACTCTAGGTAAAAAAAGCCAGCATCTGTCCCTATTTTTTTCCCATATGCTTTTTGTTTACCATTTCTAACCTGGACTGGATTTCCAAACCATCACATTTCACATAGTGGAAACCAAACCGTTGCATATGTTCAAAAATTGCGTTTAATTGATGGTTTAACTTTCCATTTTAGGAACTTGGAGATAATTTCACAGGCCGAGATGTAAGACAGGTTAGAATTTAATTTTTGAACAAAATTACATAAATGGTCCCTATACTTAGCAAAACGTACCAGATTTGTTCCTTATGATGAAGTTCTTCCAAATATGGTTCTTAAGTTTGAAATAAGAACCAACAATATCAAAAATATATACAAAAGCTTAAATTAAGGATCAAAACTTAAAACAATTTTATTTTAAGACTAAATATGAAAAAAAGAAATAAGTTTAGTGACCTTTTTTTGTAATTTGCTCCAAAAGTTATATACTCTTGCAGGTGTTGGCGACAGCTCATGGTGAAATCTTGAAGGGGTGTAAGATTTTTCTATGTCGTGTGTTGACAACATAATTTCATCAGTTATGGAAATTGGCAGAGAAGTTAGGGGCTAAATGTGTGACGGATGTCGACATGTCACTGACACACGTCATTTCCATAGATGGTGGACATGAGAGGTATCGTTGGGCGGCTCAAGTAAACAAGTTTTTGGTTCAACCAAGGTGGTTAGAAGCCGCAAATTACTTGTGGAGTAGTGCCTCCAAGAAAGTGGAAAGAGTATGGATTTAAAGTTATGATGCTAATACTTTGTTTTAGATTTCTTAAATTGGACCAATTTTATAAACTTATTTAAACTATGACAGTGGGGACCACTTTTTCTTACCTTCTTATCTCATGCATACTCATGGATCAAGGCAACAACAAGAGGCTATTACGAATGTTCCCTCTACACCAATGCAGAAAATATATGAGGTCAAATGTCAAAACCTCATTAAGTTTCCATGGATACTTGATTTCTATGTTTGTAATTGTTTTTTTCTATTTTTCCACAAAAAAAAACTAATGAAATTATACATAAACATGCTTTGGACCCTTGACACCATTAGGATTTTAATTAGCTAAAATAGACAAAACTTAATATGTTAACATATATATAAGTGTTTCTTTTATACTTAGCAAAGATTTGGAGCAAATGCAGGTAATAACATGCCTTTCTTCTGCATTTCTGCTATGCAATATGAATCGTGTGAGTTTTTTCCTGGATTTTGGGAAAAAAAATACAGAAAAAAAATACAGAAAAAGCACAACGTGAAATAGCTGATAACAAACTGGATGAATTGGTCAGTGCTATTAGGTTTTTGAGTGTTGAATATGCGGATAGCTTGATGAAGCAAAGTGAAATAGCTGATAATTACGTAAATGCCATTGCTGAGAAAGACCATTCGAATTCCAATTCCAATTCCAATGCCAATCGCACGTTCCGGGATGGAATTGGGTTTGACTTTCACCATGGGAATGGTTTTGCTATTGGTGATCAACAGAGACCGTGTAGATCAAATGGTTATATTTCGGACTTAGGTGTTGTAGCTTTTGTGTGCAGAGTAAGCGATTGCTTTCTTTTTACTTAATATTTGTTTCTTAAATGTAAGAGTAAAATGGTCATTTAGTCTCATTTAGACGGTTTATCACGTCTAGAAACGAAACATACCTTACGTATACAGACCCTTATCTAAACTAACCAAAAACAGTGGAGCAAGATATAATAGGGAGTCAGGGACTTTCTCTACATCTTTTGTTTGTACAAAAAGACGTAAATGCCCTCATCTAACATAAACTTTTATTACCATAGGGAGGTGTGAAGAGAGTGCATCTACTAGATGGAAATATTTCTGGACTGTTTTTGAAGCAATTATTTCAAAGAGATGGAGTTGGAACAATGGTCACTATGAAAGAAGAAAAAAGATAAATCTTTTTAACAAATCTAACTTTTATATGAAACAATTTCTAGCAGAATTCATATTTTATTAGTATGAAAGAAAGTGCCCATTGAATCTTGATTGGTATGTAATCATGTAAATTAAATGTTCTTAATCAGGTTCCATAAGCATAGATGTTATGTAGAATTGTTAAACACTTAAACATACAGAATAAGTAAATGCATCAAATATATTGGTTTATTGTAATCCATGAGACCAAACATACAAACTGCAATACAAAGAATATGAACGAGTGTTGTAAAGCCACTTTAGTTCTCAAGTGTCTTTGGAAGACACTTTAACACATAAGCGACATGTTCCAACCCCAAACATAACAACCAATGACACACGACATATCGCTACAGCACATACATAACCGATAAACAAAAGACTAAAAGTATGGTCTTAATCGAACCCACCTAGTTTATTATTATATTTATTATATTTTTTTAAATATTAAAATAAAATTTAATAAAATGGAAAAAACCACAAAATGACACATGAATATAATTTAATCTAAATTTACCACAAAATGACATGTAATATAATGTATAAGAAGATGACAAGTGGCAAAATTATTTTCATTTATTAGGCAGGATTTAAATTTATAAGAAAAAAAAATAATTATTAAAATTGAAGTGCTTATTTATCTTTTAAATTTAAACTACTAATTTAAATAAATAAACAACTAAAATAATTTGATTCAGTTTAGAATTTTAGAAATTATAATGAAAGTTGCATTAATGAATTGGATATACATTTATTATTACAGTTATTATATTTTTAAATATTATATGAAATTTAATAAAATGGAAAAAAAAACACAAAATAACACACAAATATAATTTAATCTAAATTTACCACAAAATGACATGTGGCATAATACATAAGAAGCTGACAAGTGGCAAAATTATTTTCATTTATTAGAAACTAGTGTGAGACTCATGTATTACATGAGTTAATTTAAAAAAAAGTTAAATATAAAGGTCAAAATATTTAAGAACTTTGAATTTATTAAAAAAATAAGAAAAATAATGAATGATTATAATTGTTTGCTTTTTTTATTTTTATTTTTATTAAGCAAATAGCAATACCATTAATTTAATTATCATCGTACAACAAGTGAGATGACAAATGGGCAACAATCTGTTTTTAATCTTTTAAATTTAAACAAATAATTTAAATAAATAAATAAATAAAAGCTAAAGAGCTTTAATTTGGAAATTTTGAAATTAAAAAGCAATTTCATCAATGAAATTGATATCCATTTATTACTATATTTATTACACTTATTATATTAAAATATTATGTGTAATTTAATAAAAAAAACTCATAAAATGACATGTTGTAAAGAAAATTATTTCAAAATAACCACAAAATGATATTTGATAAATTGAATGAGAATGTAACCTATAAATAAATAAATAAATAAATAACTTCATTTATTACGGTAATGATGATTGGGTTATAAGTTTTGTTTTTATAGTGGTTTTGGCTTAATATTTAGGTGCCCAGTAACAACACTCGAATATCGGGCCACATAACAAAATCTCTAGGCCCTAATTCTATCAAGAATCGCTCCAATATTCTATCGCCTACAATTCTCATCTCTCTCCCTCAAAAGTAGGGCTGTTTGGTATTTGAATAAAATCGAATTCTCCAATTGGACAATTTGGATTTGACTATTTGGTTCGGATATTCAGATTTTTGGATTGGTTTTCGACAAAACCGAATTGTTATTTTGGATTTCGGATTGGTTATGGTTTATAAAATAAAAACCGAATAGTCCAAAAAAACCGAATAACAATTTATTATTTATTTATTTTTAATATATATTTATAATTATTTATTAGTTTTGTAATTTATTTTTTGAAATAGGTTCAAAAAGTTTCACCTAATAAAAATATTAATATGCATCTTCTCTCAAAAGTTTTTTTATCTATAAAATATTAAAATAAAATATACATTCTTAATAGTTATTTATAAATTTCAAATCATAACTAAATAATAGGTTTTTGCTTATTGTGTAAAATGCGGTAATGTTATAATTATACGTGGTTTTAAAATGTTTTAGGTTTTAAAAATCAAATTATAAAAACCGATCCAGCCAAATTAATTGGATCGGATCAGATCAGATTTGAATTTAATTTGTACTATTCGCATCTATGTTTTGAAAACCGAAATCAATTTGGATTCACTTTATTGGATTGGAACAAACCGATCCATACAAACAAACACCCGTCCGAGCAAACCCTAGGAAAGGAAAGGGAAAGACGATGGTTGATCCAAATCGAATTCCGTCTAAACCTACACCGATTAGCGATGAAGTCAAATGTGTGAAAATTATTGGTAAGAAATTTCAGGTGACGATTTCTCAATTCTTTGATATCTAGATTCATGGGATTGATCCTGCTATATTGACATTAAAACCGATGATTCCTTTGAAACCCTAATTCTGGGCTTGTTTAATCGATATGCACTATAACTGCTGTCAATTATTCGACTTATATCAATGAATTTGTGGATTAAATCATGTCTCTGTTAACAGGTCCACTGATAAACGGTAAACCAGTTCAATTCGGTTCTGCAAAGGTACAACATAGGTTTCGTGCAAAAGAAGTAAGTAAACATCCTTTGTTTCGTTTTCTACACCAATGTTTCTCTCTTCACGACACAAATATGAATTGTTTCTATTGAACTCTGTTGTTATTTTTAGTTACTCAAGATTATCGGTGATGAAGATGAAGTCATAACGTCCATTCACACTACCTCAAAAGCCGAAATCAGGATTCTAGAACATGCCCCAGCCAAGAAAGATGGTCAGTTATATATCCAAATTCTGGGTAGTGATCTCCAAGTCCAAATTGCTGAATTCCTCATTAAGGAAGCAATCAAAGAGGTAAAACAAACAATTCTACTTTCAACACCTGTAATTATTACAGTTTTATGTATACTAATATTAAAAACCAACATTTTCAGGGATATACAGAGCCATTAATCCCTACACCTTTAATGCCAACACCTATTTTTAAACTTGCCATAAACATTGAGTTAGACCAAGTTGAACCTTTCATGGGCACCAATGGCATCAATATTTTGAAGATTGAATCAGAATCCAAGACATGGATAGAGGTTAGTTTATAATTATGGTCAAACCATGGTTAACCGATTTCATTTGATACTAATATACATATAACTAGGTGGATACATTGGAGAGAAAGGTCAAGGTATATGGTCAAAAGGAGGAGGATATTTTTAAGGCCAAGTTGATGATTAATGATCAGCTTGGTCAGGTGGTAAGTTATATATATATATATATATATATATATATATATATATATATATATTATATATATATATATATATATATATATATATATGTTTATGTGATTGGATTACAAGAAACGGTTTGATTGATTGTTTTTTGGTTTTATTAGAATAAGGAACTTAAAGTGAGAAGTAATGGGGCTGCTAAAGAAGTTGGATCTAGTGAACAGTTGGGGAAGATGGATATTGATTCTGGAATTGAAGAAAGTAGTGAACAGTTGGGGAAGATGAATATTGATTCTGGAATTGAAGAAAGTGATGATGATTCTGGTACCAGCACAAAAAAAAAAATAGCCTGATGTGTAGCTAAATAACAGATTCTGGTGGTGATGATTCTGTAACTAAAAAAGTAGAATTGTTTTTTTTTAACTGTTTTATCACTTTTTAGGATTAATAATTGAAGGGAGTTTAAAGAACAAAGGGTATGTAATATTATTTGTCTTGTTAGTTTATTATCTTGTTTCAGCTTTTTCTGAGTAATTATTGCTTAGTAATCTATGAAAACTAGATACTAAGTGGAGTTTCTGGTCTAATCTGTTTTACATATGTGGTTCTAGTTTTGTGAAATCCCTGGGCTTATGTATATAACTTTACTGTGTACATGACCATATTTACTATTTAATCATTTGTTAATTGCTATTTTTGGATTGTCACAAAAAGTTTATTACAGTTTTGGGTTGGTTGGGCTGGATTCTCTTGAGTTTAAGTTTTTATTGGGTTTGGATTGCATTTGGTGTGAGAACTCCTTCCTAATAAAGTTTGATGATAGTTTTTGGAAATTTGCTTCAGGTTTAATCATCTATGATTGGATTGTTGGTACTTGGTAGTCTCTCAAGAACAGGCTTGCCATATATTTCATAATATTTTTTCTGTTTTGATTTGTGACCATTTTGTTGTGGTTCTTCTGATTGTTTTCTTAGGCCTAATTGGAATTTTGGGGTTTTTTAGGCCCTTTAGTTCCATTTGTAATAAAGTCATATTTACCATTTAACAAGAGCTCACAAATTTGAAATATTGCTTTTTAATTTTAAGCTAGCTAGTAGGCACTACGAGAGCATAACTAATATTATTGGCTTTTTGAAATGCATTAAGACAAGTTTACATAGGGATTTTGAAACATTTAGTTTGTATAATAAGTTTTTTTAAGTAAAAAAGTTGTTACATTGTTGATTTTGAAATTTATGTTCTATATTGGTTTGTTGTATTTCAACCACATACAAAATGGGGCATTACTGTATCGTTTTGTCCCGGGCATGAAAAACCTTTGGACCGGCCCTGCTAATATTAACCATTAACCAAAATTGTTAACCGACAAAAACCATTAACCATAACCAATATTAACGATAATTAGCAACCAGGTGTAGCAACACATCATAAAGTAAACAATGAATCATTTATATTTATATATTCTGTTAATGGGCATGGTCGTTATGAATAGTAACAAGGATTCAAGAGGGTGGTTTTGGTTTTTAGATGTTCGCTGCCTTCTTAGGTTTCTCAGGTGGTTTTGATTCGATTCCACATACCGTTCTCATTCCCACCGCCTTAGGGCATCTCCAACCCACCCCCAAACTCCATTTCTTCCCCATTCTTCTCTAACCCTACCTCCTTTCCACCTTCATTTTTGGAGATATGAATAGTATTCCTCCATATATGGGGGAATACTATTCATATCTCCAAAAATGGAGGTGAAGTTTGGTTGCTAATTTTAGTCTCTCTCATTTTTATTTTATACATTTCTAGTTTATTTTATCTACTAATTATAATTTAAATGCAATATTTAATATTTATAATATCATGTTATATACTAATTTATATTAAGTTAAAATATAATATATATTTGTTAAAATCTAATTAGTAGAGGGGTGTATTTGACAATATATATAAGTTATAAAAATAGAATATTTTAGGAATATATTTTTTTGGGTAAAAAAATGGGGTAGAAAATGGAGTAGGGCATCTCCAACCCACCCCCAAACTCTATTCCCCCCCCCCCCCCCCCCAATTTTTTCCCCATTCTTCTCCAACTCTACCCCATTTCCATCTCCATTTTTGGGGATATGAATAGTATAACCCCATATTTGGGGTTATACTATTCATATCTCCAAAAATGGAGTTGAAGTTTCGGTTGCTAATTTTAGTCTCTCTCATTTTTATTTTATACATTTTTAGTTTATTTTTTTCTATTAATTATAATTTAAATGTAATATTTAATATTTGTAATATCATATATATACTAATTTATATTAATTAATCGTAAATATAGATTAAAGACTTGAAATACGTTAACATAGTTTATAAAATATAGTAATAAAATACGATCGTGATCTTGATATATTTATTATAAATATAATCTTATTTATTTAATAATTATTTATAATAAAGTAATAATTAATTTAAATTTATTATATATAAACATTTTATTTATGATAATATAATTTATAATGTTTTTGTAATGAAAAAATATAATATATAGTATTTGTTAAAATCTAATTAGTTGAGGGGTGTATTTGACAATATATATATAAGTTATAAAAATGAAATATTCTAGGAATATACTTATTGGGGTAAAAAAATGGGGTAGAAAATGAAGTAGGGTTGAAGAGGTCTTAGAAATGCTTAGGGATGGAAATTTCACCCGACCCGGTGCGGAACTCGGTTGACCTGCCCCAATCGGGGAAGGGTATTCCCCGCTAAAACGGGTATCGGGTACGGGGCCGGGGATCCCTACTTTGCTAAAATCGGGGATGGGGACGGGGCTGGGTATAACAATCCCCAACCCGCCCCACCCCTGATTTTATGACTATATATATATATATATATATATATATATATATATATATATATTATCTATATTATATATATATATATATATAATATATATATATATATATATCGCTCATTTATTGAATTTGAATTAAGTCCACTAAAATGAATTGATCTATATTAGACTATCAGAGATAGAGTCCGTATATCAAATTATGTTCCCGGTTCTAAGAGTTCGTCAATTGTCACTTCGTTCGACGATCTATATACCAAAGCATCACTTTTCATTTTGATGCTTGTTAAACTTTATGATTGATGTAAATAGGATCTGATTATGGCATCTGGTTTTGATCGCTTATTAAACTTGTTTTTTTTTTGTGTGTGTGTTAGGATGGCTTGGGAAAAGCCCAAAATACAAAGGAGAAGGGATTTGATTCCCCGCATCTGCCGGGGATGGGTATGAGATGTATTGTATTAGGTTTTGATCTTCGCTCAAGAGTTTTTATTTAAATGGATGATTTTGATTGAGCATAGAATATGATATTCACTTAGAGTACATGTCTTACAATAGTTAAATGTTTACATGCGAATAGTTTCTAGCTAAAATGCTAGTTGTGACATATTTACTTGTGAATTACATGTGATTCATATGTAAACTACATATGTCACATGTAACTCATATGTGATTCACTTGTGATTTACATGTGAGTTACATGTGATTTACATGTGAGTCACATGTAATTTATATGTGAATCACTTGTGAACTACATGTGATTCATATGTAAATTACATATGAATCACATGTAACTCATATGTGATTTACTTGTGATTAAATGTGAATTACATGTGATTTACATGTAATTCATATGTGAATCATAAGTGATTTACTTGTGAATTACATGTGATTCATATGTAAATTACATATGAATCACATGTAACTCATATGTGATTCACTTGTGATTTACATGTAAATTGCATGTAATTCATATGTGAATCATTTGTGATTTACTTGTGAATTACATGTGATTCATATGTTGATTACATATGAATCACATGTAACATATGTGATTTACTAATGATTTATATGTGAATTACATGTGATTTATATGTGAATCACATGTAATTCATATGTGAATAACTTGTGATTTACTTGTGAATTGCATGTGATTCATATGTAAATCACATATGAATCACATGTAACTCATATGTCATTCACTTGTGATTTATAAATAGTCTAACACTTTAATTCCCATTTCCATTATATATGAATGAATACTCATTAAACCATTAACCACTTTATTATAATAATAAATCAATTAATCACAAATAGAAAATATATAATAGATAATCACCATATCCAGATTAGCCCTGTCGAAAATTCCCGATACCCGAATTACCCACCCGATTTTTTCGGGTATCGGGTAAATCAGGTATCGGATAATCGGGTAACCCAATTTTTTTTCGGGTTGGGTAAAGGGTACGTTTATTGGGTTTCGGGTATACCCGAATTATTTTAAAAATTCTTTTTTTTCGTAGAGCTTGTACTCTGTAGCATGTATTTGATCACGTTTAAACTAACTATCATTATTGTAAAAGATGAATATCTTTTATTATGACAATATGACACGAACAATATTAAAAGAAATTTTTTATATATCACCATATTCTTTAAAAGTTAACTATTTTCTAGATTATAGTTTTTATTGCAACTAACAAACTCATTATCTTGACGAAACTTCAGAACATGACAAAACTTATGGCTATAATTATCTTAAATATTTTTAACTTTTAAATTAAGATCTTTAAGTATTTGTTTTTTAACATCTTATTAGATTAGATTAAGTTGTTAAAAAATTGCTTGATATCTCAAGTATTATTGACTAAAAAATCTCAATGTTCAAAGCTTGAGTAACTTCGTTTATGCCTCGTTTATTTATATAAACAAGACTAATAAAACACGACGTGTTTATTTCATTAAATTTATTTTCAGGTGCAATTCAAAAAAAAAATTATATATTTCGGGTAATACCCGAAATACCCAAATCCGACCCGATACCCGGATTACCCGAAACCCGAAAAAAATTACCCTATCAACACCCCTAATCCAGACGCTTCCTGTGTAAATCACTTGGTGGCTGCATTTTAGTTTCAAACAATCAATTACATTTTAATTTTACTTTTCTACATAAAAAAAAAGAGTCAACTTACATTGTCTTGTTTTTGTTTTTCCTGTTCACTTGAGAACCCATAAATTGTCAACTTGTAGTTATTTTTTGTACACAATAAAAAAAATGTTAACACTAAAATATCAATCCTAGATTATTCTCAAAAAAGTCACGTGTATTTTGACCATTTTTAAACCAAAAAACAAGTAGAACTTTTTTGTTAAAAAGAAGGATGGTCTTTTCACAAAAAAAGGGTCAAAATACATAGGACTTTTCAGACAATAACTGATATTTCTAACTTGACTTCAGGGACAAATTTGTAAATAAAAATAATTAGCAACTAGGTGTAGCAATACATGAGAAAGTAAACAATAAATCATTATATATATATATATATATATATATATATATATATATATTAGGGGTGTTCGCGGTGCGGTTTGGTGCGGTTTAGAGTTGAAACCGCAAACTGCACCGCACATGCGGTTTGAGTTTTTTGAAAACCACAAACCGCACCACAAAAGCTCTAAACCGCATTATGCGGTGCGG